GGCCAAGATAAAACGACCTCCCAATCCCTAGAACACAAAAAAACATGTGAAGATACTTCTTCCTCTTTCTGTCCTTAAATAGCTTTTAAAACTCTTGTTCCTTTTTCCTGTTGTTAGACTATCAATGGTTCAAACTGATTTAATTTCAAAATAAAAATAGTTTGATCAGGCTTTATGTCCATTTAAGGTGTAGGAAGCATACACAACCATTTTCCCCTACCATATGCAGCTCTAAAACCTCAACAGACTTCATGAGGGAACCATTTGAGTACCTAGAAAAGTTAATCATACAAGGCAGACAGTGGGAAGACACTGGCAATTGCAATCTCATTGACACTGAGTGAGCTTCCCATTTTTTCCTTCAGTGTCCCATGACCTAGACTCGAGGCAGCCAAAAGGCTGGAAGGGGCACCAGCGTGAGGCAGAAGGAGCTGCAGGAGAAGTTCCCTTGTTCTCGCCTGAGGATGAGAAAGAGAGCACCTAATGCTCAGAGCACATTAAAGATATTCACACCTTCCTTTTCTTTTGTTATTTCTCTGTCTGTTCCCCATGACCCCGTCTCCAGGCAAGTCTCCTATGTTGGCAACAGTGACAGCGGAGGCCATAGATCTTGCCTTTCTATTTTAGAGCTGCTTCTTTAAGAAGGCGGCATGAAAACCCAGTGCATTTTTTGCAGTTTATACTCCTACTAATTGGGAGAGACATGGGCACTGCCACAGGAGTGGCCAACGGTACAGGGTAACTAAAGTGAAAATTTATTTTGACCAGAAGACCAAAAAGACAAAGCCAGGGAACCAGAACCAGATGGAGATTTCGGAGAGGAAGAAGCCTGGGAAAGTAATACTCAAAATTGTTTATGAAACCTGGGCTCCCATCTGAGCCTCACTTGCATAGATTCTAATATGTTATAAAGATATTGGGAAAAATTTAAGAGATAGTCAACCACCCAGAACCCCGATGAGCCACTGTGTAGCTCACACATAGGACAGAATAAAATAACAGGTAAACTTTTATGATTTGAACTTAAATAGAAACCACAACCCACAAAAAGTTGGACGAAATTAACAGCTTAGACACAACTGGGCAGACAGTCAACTAAAACAAAAATATGAAACTAGCATTTAAACAAGACCCGTAGTTTCATCACAAAATATTGGACATATCCAGGAAAGGAGCCAAAATCACTTGGCATATGTAGAACCAGGAAAACCTTACCTACATGGAAATTAAAATTACAAAGGCTAACTCCAATATGAGGGATATATTGGGTTTATGTCATGAAGACTTTAAATCAGCTGTTTAAAAATGGTACAACAAATAAGGACACACTCTGTTGAAATGAATAGAGAGAAAGTCTAGTCAAAAAACAGAAGATATACTGAAGCATAAAGTTGAAGTACTGCAAATGAAAACTACACTAGATGGGATTAATGGCAGATTAAGCATTGGGAATAAAGAATATATGACCTTGAAGTCATAGCAAAGGAAATTGTCTCCTGTAAAACACAGGGGGGAAAATGAATTTTAAAAAATAGAATGTTATCAGTGAATTTGGGATAATTCAATTAACATAATGAACATATAACTGGAGTTTCCAAAGGAAAAAAGACAGTGACAGAAAGAAACTCAAATATTCAGAAGGTCAACAATCCCCAAGCACTAGAAACATGAAGAAAACCACCTCAAGGCTCATTACAACCAGTTCTCTTTTGTGTGGACACAAGTCTAGACCCTTCTTTGGCTTCACTGATTATTGATTTATTAGTAAAATGTCAACTACAGAAGTTTGCTCCATGAAGAATCCGTCACATCATTTCGTTCTCTCTCTCCCTCTCCTAACCCTCACGACACAAACTCCAGTCACAAAGGGATTCTCACTCTGGATATTGAGGGTGAAATTGAGAGAACACCCAACCATGTCTGTTCTTCCTACACCCCACTAAACATATATTGAAGGTCATAGTCATATGCCAGAGTTTTCTGTAAGAGACTAAGGAACAGGGATACCAACAACACAAACTTGGAAGCCAGGATGCATGTTGACAAGTGCTAACTGACTTAGACTTGACAAAGCCCAGTCCCACGGCTGCAAAAGTTACAACCTGAAATACCATTTTTTTTTTTTTCTTGAGGAAGATCAGCCCTGACCTAACATCCATGCCAATCCTCCTCTTTGCTGAGAAAGACCGGCTCTGAGCTAACATCTGTTGCCAGTCCTACTCCTTTTTTTTTCCCCCAAAGCCCCAGTAGATAGTTGTATGTCATAGTTGCACATCCTTCTAGTTGCTGTATGTGGGACGCCGCCTCAGCATGGCCGGAGATGGTGCATCAGTGCGCGCCTGGGATCCAAACCCGGGTCACCAGTAGCAGAGCAGGCACACTTAACCGCTAAGCCACTTGGCCGGCCCCTGAAATACCATTTTTAATTCTCCCCCAGTTGTGAATGTGGAAGTGATGAGTTGATATAAATTAAACACTAAAATAAGTGGCAGCTGCTACAGAATCAGGTGGATCTCCACATCCTCTCTCCTCCTAGTAGTGTGGCTGGTAGACCACTGCCCACTACTCCTCCCTGCACAGAGGGTAAAACTCACTTCTCTAGACGAGGGGAGGCCAAGCAGAGTGGAGTCTGTGGGGATCATGAGGAGAACCCCATGTTCCTCACAAGCAATTTAGCCTCTACCCACCTCTCTCTAATGGTCACCTCCATTGATGCCTTTCCCTGATAGGCAATAGATGCAAAGACTCATCTAAGAGGAAGCATATCTTCTAGGTGCTGACAGCAATGACACCATCTTGTAATGTTCGGGTCTGAGTGGCCTGGATTCTCGTTTGTACTTTCCTGCCGGCACTAGGGTTGCCTTCACATAAGCCATTCTCCGGTGTCCCCAACAGCAAAGAATCACTTCTTTCTCTTCCTCCCAGTGACGTGATCTCAGACTACTCCTGGAGTCCACGCGAAGCTAAGTAGCAGAAGATGTGCAGCAGCTAATCTCTAACAGTATTGCTGCTGGAGACCCAGGACCTTCCGACATCCAGCAAGGACACATGCCCAAGTCTAGTGGTCCCTTCTCTTCCTCTGGGGCCTTGTCTGCCGTCTTCAGGAGCGGCTCCAGTAGATCCCAGGGAACCCTCACCCAAGACTGAGAATGAGACTTTGGCAGGGTCAGTGTCTCCTGGGGCCTCCCCTGATATACAGATTATCCTTTCCTCACTCAGCTGGCTTTTTGCTAATTCCCACTGTTTCAAACTCTGTTGTTTGGGGATGCAACCTAGGAAGGTGCCGGGAAAGAATGTAAAGAAACAACAGAATGATTAACACCAACTGCAGCACAGTGACTAATTGGAGACTGGGCTGGATGCAGAGGCTGTGGGTGGGCAGATGTAGCGGTGGGTCGATGCAGTTTCCATTTATTATTCTTCCTTAAGTTGTGAATACTCCTTCCACACACTCTTCTTTGGAAAGATGCCTTTCATAGTAAGAGGAATTTAGAAAAAGAAACTTAAATGTACCTGAAGCTTTTCCTTTCCTTGGCTACATAGTTAAGAACTCAGAACAAATGTAGATGTAGAGAAAGTTTTTGTGAGAAACTGCAAGCATAAGGTGAAATATCTGTGTTTGTAGCCTTTGGAGATGGTAGAAATAGTCACCTAGAACCTTTGTACAAAGAAATTGGGAAAGGGTCCCCGCCCCAGGGGCCCAGTGGTTAAGTTCAGTGCCCACCACTTCCTTGACCCGAGCTCAGTTTCCGGGCATGGAACCACACCACTCGTCTGCCAGTGGCCATGCTGTGGCAGCTGCTCACATACAAAAAGACAAAGAATGGCAGTGGATCTTCGCTTAAGGCAAATCTTCCTCAGGAACAAAACAAAATGAAACTGGAAAAGGAAAAGATAGGGTCAAAAGTGGGACAATGTTCCCTCTTACTTTGATGAATCTGAGGCCCCACCCCACCCTGCTCTCTCCAGCATTTCCAGGACAAGTTCAAACAACACGTAGAAAAGAAGGAAGGATGCCCTTCAATGTGGAATCCTTAGGAGGGTCTAAGAATGAGAGAAGAAGGTAGCGCTGACTGCCTCCTAAAGCTTTCCCCGAGAGTGAATGTGATATTTTTATTTTGTCATGTGAAGTCATGTAAACTTAGAATTTTGTTGTCCTAGATCCTGAAAGGATCACTCACCCTTGGGTTGTGACACAAGAAGAGACAGAAAAGTTAATGACATTCCATCAACTGATTAATGGATAAATAACTGTGGTACATCGATGCAATGCCATATTATTCGGTCATAAGAAGGGGTGAAGTATTGATACTATATGCTTCCATATGGATGAACTTTGAAAACACCGTGATAAACAAAGGAAACCAGACACAAATGGCCCTTTCATGTAGGATTCCCTTTATGTGAAATGTACAGAATAGGCAAAGCTATAGGCATAGTTGTAAATTAAGGGGTGTGAGGGGTTGAGGGATGAGGGAAATGGGGATTCATTGCTAATGAATGTGGAGTTTCTTTAGGGTGATGAAAATGTCCTGGAATAATTGTGTCAACAGATGTACTAACTGTGAATATATTAAAAACCACTGAATTCTCCACCTTAAAATCAAGGATTTTACAAAATGTGAGCTCTGTCTTAAAAAAGTATTAAGCCTTAGGAGGTAGTGTATACAACTTATTGTCAAATGATCCAGAAAATAAATAAGTTTTGTGTGTGTGTGTTGTGTACATATATTTATGGATGTGTATGCACATATAAAAGCACGTAAATGTATATACAGAGAGAGAGATGAGAAATAAAGAGATATAGTGAAAAACAAATATGGCAAATTGGTAAAAATTGGTGAATCAGGAAAAAGATTATTCAGGAGTTCTTTACATTTTCTTTAAATTTTTATGTAAATCTATAATTATTTCAAAATAAAATAATGACAAAGAAAAACTGAGAGCCTGCATTTAGGATGAAGGAACTTGAGTGAGCTCAGAGGAGGTTTTGGTCTCACTTCCCCACGAACTTAAACCAACGTGGAAAGTGTTACTGCCCACATATGAGCTACAGTAATAATCACCCTCATCCTCAGCCTGGAGCCCAGAGATGGTCAGGGAGGCCGTGTTGCCAGACTTGGAGCCAGAGAAGCGAGCAGGGATCCCTGAAGCCCGACTATTCACATTATAAATCAGGAGTTTGGGGGCTGTGCCTGGGTGCTGTTGGTACCAGTAGATGTAGTTATAACCCCCAATGTCGCTGCTGCTTCCGGAGCAAGAGATGGTGACTGACTGACCCAGAGCCCCAGACGCAGAGGAAGGCTGTGTCAGGGCAGACTGGGCCCAGGACCCTGAAAAGAGGAAAAACACACTCTGGTGAGTTCACTGTTGGCATCTCAATGAGCCTGAGGAGGAGACAAAGGATCAGCCCAGGGGTCTGGTGGTCCCGGAGGCCTCACCTGTGTCCTGAGTGAGGAGGGTGAGGATCAGCAGAGCCCAGGCCATGGTGGAGATGCCCCAAGAGCGCTGCCTTCTGAGACCCCAACCCTGGCCCTGGCTCCCCCAGACCTCTCTTATCCCCTCCCTCTGCCTCAGAGTTGGGAGGGGCCTCCATGCAAATCTGCTTTCTGCACCTGCCTCTCCTCACCCTCCTCTGAACTGGCCCTTCATTCTAGATTCTTCTGTATCTCTAGGCTGCAGAGCTTACCTGTGGGATTAAAACTCTTTGACCTGTATTTCCTGAGTCAGGATGGACAGAGCCCAGGACATGGAGCTCATCTTGGAGGTCCCTGTTCTTCCTACGGCAGGAGTCATGGTGGTTCCCGTTGAGGAATCTTAGGACTTGAACTCCTTGTCTGAGGGATGAGGGTGAGGACAGGGTCCAAGACAGGCTGAGGGAGATACATTAATTTGGTTTAAGGGGTCTAAAGGCAAAGCAGGATACTTCTCACTTCCCTTCTGTCTCCTTGGTCCTCCCAAGAAGTGTAGGCCCTCATGCATTATTCTGTCCCTTGCTTCTGCACTGCCTGAGATTGGGGCCTGAGTCTGAGCCCTGGGGTTCATTTATTGTTCCCACTACAGAAGGACTTATTGGAGTACAATGGATTTGGACTCTTTCTACACATCCCTTTAGAAGGGCTGAAAGGGAAGCAGCTCCTGGGACATCATCAAGCCTAGTGTACCACAGCAGTCGCCTGCCCCAGTCCAGGCCTTTGCTGCCACCTGGTGGTCTCAGGTGGTACATCCCAAGCTCCAGGGAAGGCTGCTGAGTGGGAGGTGGAAATCCCTGCTGTGCTCTTTCCCCTGACTTCACTCATTCCCCTCCCAACTCAGTACTAGGCCTCCTGATCCCTTTGGTTCCATTTTATGCTCCTTTCCCTTTTCTCCTGAACCTCCTACGGAAAGGAACGTGTCTCCTGCCACACCAGGTGTTCAGACGCTGCCCTTCAGGATCACATTACCTGTCCTGGGAAGGTAATTCACAGGGTTAGTGTCCTGAGATAGCTCTGGGGTGAGGGCTGAGGAAACGCTGGATGAGAAATAAAATCAATCCCAGCAGGAAGGTTGGATGAGAAAATGGGATGAGGAGACCAATTGGCTCCTCAAAGTGTTATCAGATTTAAAATGCCGTAAGAACCACAAATGATACCAAAGAAGAGGCCAAAGGACCAATTACACAAAATAACTAATAACCAACAAAAATTAAATGAAATATATTAAAAATATACAAAAATCAAATCGCATTTTCTT